ACTTTAAATCCCCACCCAATCCATAGAATGTCAGTACCAGACTTTGAGGTAAATCATTCATAACTTTTTAGAGTATCATTTGCATTTGTTAGTGTCTATTTGTGTAGACCACAGATTTTTCTGTTGTTCATTCATTGTCTTATTTCATCTGTCATGCAGTTGTCGTTTTGTTGCATTTTAATGTCTTTTGGTTGTTTCAGGTTCTGTATGATCTCAAGGCTTTCTTTTCTTTCTCTTCTACATGTAAAACAGGTTTGTCTCAGGTGAAAATGTTTTGTGCATGGTATATGAGTTGACAATCAAATATAGACCGGAAATAGATAGGAATCTGACAAGATGATAAAATGAAGAACAAGCAGGAAATATATCTCAGTCTAACATGCTTCAATTTTATTAAAACTTCATCAGCGATCAAGAATAGAAATAAAAAAAGCAAAGAGACAGGATACTGGTACGTTAAGATGTTTGGTTAGTTCACATTGGTCGGACACGCATCACATCCATTAACAGAATAGATCTTATCTTTCTTATTATAAAACGCAGATTGTGTGTGTGTGTGTCTGTATGTTTATATATTGGATCAGATTTCCTATATTTTTCAACCGATTTCAAAAAAACTTCACAGAACTGCGTAAAATTACCTTGAGGTGGTTCTGACAGTGCCAAAAATTGGAAAAACACAATTGTTTTTGCACAAAATCAATTTGAAAACATGATAAAACACGATTCTGTCGCCAGAATGGAAGGGGGACAACTCATATCAAGTTATACTTATTATAAAACCCAGGTTGTTTGTGTGTGTTCGTTTATATATGGGATCGGATTTCCTACATTTTTCAACCGATTTCAACAAAACTTCACTTTTTTTGGCAGGTAGTGTTTCTTATTGTCTTGCACGCTTTTTTCTTTATTTTTACATTCAGAATGCTTTAAAAATTCCATTTACAAGACAATTGTTTATAAAAAAATTCTATTCAATCTGCAGACTCATAACGATTGAAAACAATGTTTTTGTTTGAGTTTGGGTTTGACCAATTCGTAAAAAAAACAAAAAAAACAAAAAAAACCTAATTAAGACATGCGTGTCTGCCAACTTTAAACAATAATCTTTGTCAATTTTATTTTTCAGTCTTTCGGATGGTTGATACTTGATCTATCTCTTACTGTTACATCCCCGGGCAATGCCGGGCTCTACTGCTAGTAATGTATAAATATGTGTGAGGAACATTTCGGACATTAAAGTTTGTGATAGTGTAAGAGGGTGTGAGTAATGAAACGCTTCTGTGTCTGGGTGTATGTCGGACAGTAACGTTAATTCATATTTGTTGTATATGAGGACCATCTACAGATGTCAGCCTTGTTTATTTGGTGACATGTAACAATATGTTACAATAATTTTGTATTTGATTAGATTTTTATATTCTCATGTCTGTGCATGTGTGGGGGGGTAAAGTCTGTGGTCGTCAACTCTGTGTGGATTGGTGAAACAGTGAGATATTGTAATCTAGTTTTGGTTGGATTTATCATTAAAGTATTTCATATGCGTATTTTTAAAATCTTTGTTATTTTATGTATTAGACGTAAGTTAGTCTGAACAATATAGGTAGAATCTATCATCCTCATCTTTGTTACTATATTTATCACAACGTTTTGGCTGTTGTATGTTCTGGCCTTTTTCAGGTGGTTATAATATCGAACTGAACCCTTTATTTCGCTCGCTGGGGTAGACTATTCTAGTTCCACGTGCCATGTCTAATGGATGTCCGTTATCAGTTATCTCCTGTGCCATGTGTCAAGTCACATGGCACAGTGGATAAAAGTGTTGGTTAGATCCAGTGACAGGATGCAAAGAGTGTGAGTTCAATACCTGGTTAAGGCGGTGGTGAACTTGGAGAGAGTCATTAACAGGAGATAACTGATAACTGACATTCATTAGACATGGCACCTGGAACTAGAACAGTTTACCCCAACGAGCGAAATAAAGGGTTCAGTTCGACATTCCAACCACCTGAAGAAGGCCGGAGTATACAATGGCTGAAATGTTGTGATAAATATGGCAACAAAGATGAGGATGATAGTATGAACAATGTAAATAGTGTACATAATACCTCATCTCAGAAATATAGACAGATACGATTCCTACTTGTTCTTCATTTTATTATATATGTTTGTATATCTTAAAGCCAAGTATAAAAACCTGTGTCTGTTGATAATCAAATATGAATTATGAACAAGAATAATCCAATTAAAAAAAAAAAATATTGACTTTTAAAAAAAAAAAAAATCCTTTCTCTGGCGTAAGCATGTATATATGTTTTTACCAAAAATGTCTTTTTCAGACATGGACAAATAAACATGTCCAAAACACAACAGGTTTATACGTCAATCTTCATTCTTTTTATGCCCTTCTGAGCTTGAAATGAATCCGTAACCTTGTATATTCTGAAACTTCATTACCTGGTGTACTTGAATAAGTATATTTCATTTTGATCAAGGGGGGTGGGGGTGCATGGGGGCATAAATCTCCCATTGAAAATTTTTTCCATTTGATTTAAATTAAATTTACATTTAAACAAGGGAATGAATCCTATTCAAAATATAGGAGAAGAAAGCCAGAAGATGGAGGTCACATCAGCAATATCAAAATGAGACAATATGGATGTCAAATTGAGCAAAAAATCTCCAATCAGTGGGTAGTGCCTTACAATACATATTTGTTGCCACAATTCTACTGTCATATTAATGTTGAAGTCTGCTCATCAATTCAATCATTGCATCAAATACATATCAAAAGGGTTAGATCAACTGAGATTTTTTTCCCTTTGATTTAAATTAAATTTAAATTTGAATAAGTGAATGTCTCCTATCCAAAATATTGGATGAGAAAACCAGAAGATGGAGGTCATATCTGCAAGAGTATTGAAATGGATCAGTTTTTCCATAAATTATAACAATGGTTTAAAATCAATCATCATTTTCTTACAAAAAAAAAATGTATAACACACAGCAAGGTGTGGGTAATTTGGCTAGTAATTCTATATCACCAAATTCTCAAATCAATGTTTTAAACTAATTGGCTATTGAGCTGTAGATAACCCAAAGCATAGATAGCAGAACAAAAACAGACAACTTGGTAGAATAAATAAGGGGCTCTGTTCGAAATTCACTAGAGGGTACAATGGCCGAAATTTTGTGATACTAACATTAAAGATGGGGACTGTAATTTGTGTATAAATAACATAAATAACAACACATCAACCCAGAAATTCAGACAGAAAAACAATTATAAAGTTTTATAAGTATTTAATATTGATAATTATATTGTCAACTCTGTACAAAATAATTATTGTTTTATTTATTTATTTATTTTTTTTTTTTCAACAAGATTTTTAAATTTCATCAAATGAGCCATCATTCTGATAGGCTCTTGAAAATTGTGATGTTTGGTTAGAATTTTGGGAAGTGGGTCAGCTGAAGATTTTCTCTCCCTTATATATATATATATATATAAAACAAAAGAAAAACTTTTCTTTACTAGACACGTTTCATCCTCATAGATTTTATCAAGGCAAATGTAAGGATTTTATTTTGCAACAAATATGTATAAACAGTTGGCTTAATAAAGCCCATTATATTATGGAACCCGTCTGTAAAGAAAGGTCTTCCTTTTGTCTTTATTTTTCATATTGTCTTTTTACAGGTATGTTTTATTTATATCTGAATTTTTGCACACACACAAATTAGGTAGAGAGCTTTGTTCAAACTGCTGATCATGCCAGATGATGTGTTCTCTCTCAGAAACTGTAAGTAAGGCCTGCTCAGTGTAATTCCTGTGTAAACCACAAGTGTGTTCTGTGGAGGTTGAGAAAACAAATGTACCTGAGCAGGCATCTGCAACAGGGATCAACTAACTGCCCTAACAGACGTGTGCTAGGAAACCAGTTGTCTAAAATTTGGGACCATTAAAAAATAAGATTATTTATTTTAAATATTGATATATTGTAAATTGAAGGTTTACTAACAGAAATTGATTTTTTTTTTTTTTTTCCTAATTTTCCTAAGTTTGAATCACCCTTCTAAGGTAAATTTGCTTCAAAACTTTGCTATATGTAACATTTGAAACCTTTTTAGTGAGATAAGGACCTTTTTGTATGTAATGGATTCAAATATAACAAGTACTAAATCACCTTCCTTGACACCACACACAACTTGATAATCTAACTTTTAGTCAATTCAAATAAACCTTCATTAATCCTTGTCTGGTCTTAGGATTAAACTTTGTGTACTGTATTAATTTATTTCTTTAATAAGTGAAAATTATTAGACCTGATCAGAATTTAAACAGAAAAAACATTATTTGAAGCAATGAATTAGAAAGTCAACAAAGATTTTTTATTTCAAAGAAGAGTAACAATGTCCTAGTTACAAAACAGAGAAAACTATTTTTTAAGTTCAGTTTAAAGAATCAACTCGTGACTGAGGCTACTTATTGGAAACTATAGAATCAGTATCATTTCCCTAGGCAGGCTCTTTTTTATCTTAATATTAAATGGCTGGACATTTTCATGAGATTGAAAGCATAAGGTGCAAAGAAAATAAATTATTTTTTTGTGTGTACATGTGTCAAAAATGTCCATTTTTTCCATTCTAGATGATTAAACTTTTCCAAATTTTTTTAAACCTTTTTCTTTTTGGTAATACTAAAAAAAATAAAAAAAAGAAAATGGATGAATAATTTGCTGAACAGATTTTTCTTTTTAAATTATTTTTTTTTGTGTTTTGAAATTTATATTTTACTTGAGTATAAAAAGAAAAAAAAATTAATGAAATCATAGTTTTATATTTTCTGTTGTAATATTTTTTTTTAACTCATATTTCTATTCTTTTTTTTATGAAGGAATGTTTTAGTTCATAAATTCTTTAAATGCATCATGAATACTAAAGTTTACAGAGTGTCTTTTCAGTTGTATAATTTTCTTTTTACTCTTTTTTTATTGCAGAATAATTCAGTTATTAGTTTTGATGAACAGACAGATGTAGCAGACCTTGAGGAGGATGATGATGATTTTAAACCCTCCCAGGTAATGAAATTAATTCCTCTTTTTATTATTCTTTTTTCTTCCCTGTTTTTCTCTTTCCTCTCTTGTCTTTATTTCTCTCTTTTTTCCTTTTTCTTTTTTTCCTTTTTCTTTTTTATTCTTTTTTCTTTTTTATTCTTTTTTCTTTTTTATTCTTTTTTCTTTTTTATTCTTTTTTCTTTTTTTTTCTTTTTCTTTTTTTCCTTTTTCTTTTTTTCTTTTTTCTTTTTTATTCTTTTTTCTTTTTTATTCTTTTTTCTTTTTTATTCTTTTTTCTTTTTTATTCTTTTTTCTTTTTTATTCTTTTTTCTTTTTTATTCTTTTTTCTTTTTTATTCTTTTTTCTTTTTTATTCTTAGATTTTTTTCTTTTTTGTCTTTTCTCTCTTCTTTTTCTCTTTTCTCTTTTTTCATTAAAATTCCAAGCTTTATGTAAACTATATTAATCTTGACTTAAAAACCATTCTTTTATGTGCTGTCCACAATTTGCTGTCCTTTTTAGTGAATTTTGTCTTTTTCTTACCACTCCTAAACCTTGTCCCATCATTTAAACTTAAGGTCACTAAGTATGTTATGTGTCATTTCCCTCTGTCCATCTTGTCTTCAATATAACTTGTGAGTATCATATTCTTCAAGCTCTCTTTCCCTCTTATATGCTCTAGAATTTTCAACTGTCTCTTCCTGATGTAAAGTATGTGTCCTTTTTGCTTCCATTTTCTCTAAAACTATTGTTGTTCACAATTTCAGTCCATGGTATTCTCAGAATCCTTCTGTAGAACTGCATTTCTGTTGCTTCAGGTTTCTTACTTTGTTTATTATTCAGAAAAATCTTGATTCAAAGTCTGGTATATCAGGAGGAACAGCTGATTCTAACAGTGAAAAAGACGGAGCAAACCTGAGCTTTGAAATGGATGATTTGGACACTGACAGTGATAATAGCGATCTTATCTACATGCCCAACAATGATGATCTTGAGTCACCTGAGAACCTGGCCAGGTAAACATTTTCTTTTTCTTATAATTAAATGAACATAATAATAATAATAATAATAATTATTATTATTATTTTTAAATAATAACTAATGTAACTGGAACGTATCCAGGCATTTTGAATCTCTCAAGAACTGGTTGCCAGGAAGGGCAATAAGAGGGGACCTTACTGGACATGCATGAAGACTCAGTCCTTTGTCATTTTACTCAGCCAGCAATGAAATACCATGAAGTGAGTTTTATTAACCCATTAACTGCCAGATTTTTTTAATGCACATTTTTGGCCCAGAGAGGTGTCTTAGGAGTTTATTTCTTATGTTTAATTTCAGTAGTTACCATTTTTATAGAAAGTAGAACATCAAATATATATGTGCATAAAATATCAAAAAATAATATTGATTAGGAATAATAAAAAAAATGCTTTTCAAAATAGTCATTATTTTTCTACTCGTGAAATGTAAAATTATGACAGAATGTGTCTTCTTATGGCTAATATTAAAAACTTTAAAGGCTAAGTGTTGTAAAATATACCTCTGAAAATGCGATGTATGTAAGCAATTCAATGTAAATATAAGGAATAACATGTAGTGAGTTAAAATTAAACTCAAATGGGGCTCATGGCAGGTAATGGGTTAATGTAATAAAAAGGTACATATTAAAATACACACATTCATATATTGTTTTAAAAATTATGGAGCACATTCTTTTTATTTAAAAGGAACCTTTTTGGACCAACACATCTTCAGAAAGATTTGTTAGAAAAAAAAACAAATATACGAAAGAAAAAAAATAATCATAAACAGCAAAATTGAAAATGTGTGTGTGTGGGGGGGGTTGGTAAATAAGGAACTACAACTAAAATAAATTTGTTACTAAAACAAATCATTGTAAATAAGCTCCTAGTGAGTACAAAATGGAAAATATTTCATACTAACCACCCGTGGGACAGAGATAACGAAGAAAGTTGTTCTGTCTGCACAGCACAAAGTCGGTTGATGAAGCTTAATATGAACCGCTTCTAAAAAATATAAATGTTAAGCTGACCAAGCTTTGTACAGATTCCTAAATGCTTTGTCAGTATATTTCAAAGTGTAACCTGGGTTGTTCCCTAAATGTAGTCCAATCACAGACTCACAAACCAACTGTGTCAAGTGAATAATGTCGCTGACTCCACCCTGTCCATTCAGTTTAATATGGAAGTGGAGAATGATTCTGCATTAACCTTTTTGGATGTGCTGGTTGAACGGGAGGAGGGGGTTGTTTATTATCAGCATATATCATAGGCCCACTTTTACTGGTTTGTATACAAATAAGCTATAGGTAAATAGCAGGACAGACTGAGTTCTATTGCCTTGAGTGTTAACCAGTCTAGGAAAAGGAAAATCTTTGAATTCAAAACCGTCCTGGAGAGGGTTGGGCTCGCTCAGGTTATCTTGCCCAAGAAACACCACTTCTACTGTGGCTGCAGTACATATGGTACCCCTACGACCCTATGGGTCATGGGATAAAAAAAAGTGGAAGGCACAGTGGAATAATAGATAATGGCTTGGATTGAGGAATCGGAGACATTACATTCAATTGGATCCATTACATTCACTTATGTGCTAATACTCTTGGGGAAGGTATGAATCCTTTTCTTTTCCCCCCAGCTATAGCAGGACAGACTGGGTTCTATAACCTTGGGTGGCAACTGGTCTGGAAGGAAAAACTCTGAATTCAAAACCAGCCTGGAGAGGATTGCACGCTGTCAGGCTGCCTTGCCCAAGAAACACCACTTCTATTGTGGCTACAGCACTCATATTGCCCCATACAATCCTACAGGTCATAGAATAAAAAAAATTGAAATTTTTTTTGTCTCTAAGTCCTATAAAATTAATTTAATTTCTACTTTGGTCCACCATACTTTAGTAATATGTTCACCTTGTAAGTTGGGAGGGGAATTGGTGAACATTTACAATATTTTCCGGGATAACATTTACCTGGAGAATGTTTTTAAATGGACCATGGAATGTAAAGTTTTAAGACTTCTGTGGTTTTGGACTTTATCTTTGTCCAGTTTATTTAAAACTAGCCTAGTTGGGTCGGAGTAGTCAGACAATTGCCAATAGGTGTTGGCGTGTGTGCACCCTCCCCCAGCATATTGCTTGCCATCTAAATTTGGCTCCTTATTGACTTTTGACCTTTCTCCAAATGCTGTTGAAATGCCATGAAATGATACTGAGGGTATGCAACAGTAGTCTGAAAAATGCAAAGGACACTGGGATAAATGCATGAAATCTCCAAGAGAGTATTTTGAAGAGGACTATAGTTCAATTGCCCAAGGTAGGCTCTTTTTTTTTTTTTTTTTTTTACTTAATATTAAATGGCTGGATACTTTCAAGGCAGACTTTGTAGTTAACTGATTTCTTATGATACAACAATGGTTTCAAACTCTAGGACACAAAAGGGGCATTGTATGCTGAGGGAGAGATGCAGTATGCCAGAAGCATGTACATTCACAATGGAGAGGGTATTAAATTCAGAGGGGGCCCCAATGATAGAAGCATTTTCTTGCATTAAAATTAGTTCACAACACATTCACACATGTGTGGGTGCAAAAAGCTTTGAGGTCATCTTTCTCTAAGTTGTTAAATTGACTTCTTATAAAATTCAAAAAAGAGAATTTGTGTCCTCCTGTCAGGTAGCTGATGAAGATTACATGGTGATGGGGGAGGTTGAGTTTTCTTCCCTTTCTTGGTGAGAAATGAGAACAGACTCTACTAATCTTAAAATTGATTGATTTGCACTTGGCAGATAGATCAAGTTCAATACTATAAACATATGGAGGGGGGGTGAGGGGCAAATTTATTGAACCTATTAAAATTTGAAGAAAATATTGGTAACAAAAATGGTTTTCCTTTCTCACTAGCTGCAAAAAAATAGTCTGTGAAATACGTTTGAGGACTCTAGGATAGAATGCCAAAAACTTCTTTTTGAGAAGTTATAAAATGGTAAAACTATTGGAAAGTTAAATAATTATTTTTTACAGAGGAAAGGGAGTCTAAAACATTTTACCCTTAAATGTTTAACATTAAAATCCTTATTTTTCAGCAACTTTCATGTGTTTGCTTCTGCAAGTAAAGCAATCCAAATTCCCAAGATAAGTTCTGACCAGGTTAAGGTGAACTTTGATCCGTCACATAATGTGGGTAAGTTTGCACGTATTTAGTTTAACATTTTTAGATTTTACTTTATGCAAACATATATGCAGTTGCATTTTATATATATATATACACACACATGCACACGCACACTATTATTGTGATGATGTTTTAATAAATAACAACATTGATTCATTTCTATGAGTTATATTTGACACTAGTTTACCCATATATACTTCCCCCACCTTCCCCTACTCATTATACAGACTTCTTCTTCCCCCACCCCAATTTTTCCCACTTAAATTATGTAAGCCTCCCAAAAGATTTTTATGGTCAAGTTAATTCCACTACACTTTTTTTTTGTCTGTTTTCTTTTTTTTTGTCTGTTTTCTTTTTTTTTGTCTGTTTTCTTTTTTTTTGTCTGTTTTCTTTTTTTTTGTCTGTTTTCTTTTTTTTTGTCTGTTTTCTTTTTTTTTGTCTGTTTTCTTTTTTTTTGTCTGTTTTCTTTTTTTTTGTCTGTTTTCTTTTTTTTTGTCTCTTCAAATTTTCTTTTGTCTGGTATTTTGTTTTTGTCTGGTTTATTGTCAGATTGTCTAGGTAAATTGTTATCATTTAATGAAATGTAGTCTGTCTGATGAGGCAGGTATGTACATTTATATCTGCTGAAATTTTATAAGCGATTTATATAATATTTTAAGTTTTTTCCTTATTTGTATTGCTCTGTATATAAATTTATACATTGAGCTCTCTTCATGGATTTAACTTTTTAATATTTTTATATTAAAAAGACCTTGTAATAATCTCTACCACTTACAGATTTGGTATTTTATATATATATATATATATATATAGTAAAGGTGAAAAATCTGTTGGTATACAATCCAAGTGGATCCTAGTAATATAAAATATTAAAACTGATCCACAAAAAGAGCTCAATGTATTTATTAATACAGAGCAATATAATTAATAAACAATAAAATCCCAAATCACCTCATATGGGGAATAGTCTATTTCACCAGATATCAATTGTCTGTCTTATCATCCCCAGTTTGGACTGAATTTGTGTCTCTACAGATTTGGGGGAGGCAGGAAGTAGAATTTAACTGTGAAAGCTAAAAAAAATCAACCTGTCGAAAAACTAATACAGAATTTATCCATTTCAATGTTTCAGTCAGACGAAAGGCATGAGGCAGGGGTCAGAGGAGGGTGGAAAGTATTTGTCTTAAAGGGAAGAAGTTTTATAAAATTAAACCCAAATATTAACCTTATGACATTAATTTCAGGCTATATGAATAATAAAATATTAATGTAAAATAGTATTTTTTTAGCTTTCACAGTTAAATTCTACCTCCTGTCAATCCTTTTCTAAAATAAACCTAAATTTTTGACCCTTATTTGTCCTATGAGTAGTCCTGGAGTATAGAACACTACAGTCCAGTGAAATATTTGTGATCAAGCACTTTCAATCCTACTTCTGGTCATTTTTCAATATTCAGGGTTATGTAGGTAGTATTTACCTGGTTTCCCTACTAAAGCACGATGTGGCACAATGTCTTTTTTAACATGGAACTTGCTACTCAAACTAACCTCCTTAACCAGTACCATATACCAATTCACATTCTTCTTATTCGGGTTTTGTATGAGAGTTTGGAATTAAATGACCATAAAGAATTGATATGCTGTTAAAAAAAATCATACATATAAGAGCATTTGAATATATTTTCCAATTATTATGTAGAAATGATTGGGGGGATCATTTTATTATATAACACAATAGAAAACTGATCCCCCACTTTATGTCCACTAAAAAAAACTTTTAATAATCTGCATATAAACCTTCCTACTATTAGGTTTGTTGATTTTATATGTCAACCATTGTTGAATTATTAAATGTTTAATTTTGCATGGGGTACCCAATGAGGATTGAATTTAAATTTTTGTAGTAATGATCAACTTGACCGGCCTTACTTAACATTATCCTACATTTGACATGTGTTTTGCATTAAAATATGTCTTTTAAAATTATTAAACAAATATTTACTTGGAACTTCCTTGTTTGTCCATAGAATATGTGCATGTATTTCTCTTACAGACTTTGTGTGAGATTTATTGAATGTCGTTATTTGTTTGAAAACAGAATTCCAAAATATCTATTCTTTTCTTTGTATTTTCTTTTATGTTTTCTCCCCGCCCTTTTTTTTTCCTTAGTTGGTTCACCTGAACTGCAGGCAGCCGTTGAAGACGGTGATGATGAAGATACTGGTGATGAGATTGGTCCTCTTTCCAATGCCAATACACCCACTGATATCGAAAAGGAAATTTTTTGGAAGACTCCAGAAAAGGTATGCACAAGTTGTACCATCTAACTTTTTAATTTTGATAAACGTCTTGTATCTGACCAGTCAGCTTCGTGATTTATTACATAAATTATTGCAATGCCCTATTATGTGAGAAGCAGATGTTGGTGGAATGGCAGTAGAAAGAAATTGAATGTCACAACCGATAACACAAACACACATAATATAGAATTAATATTATTTAAAAGTTTTTCACTTAGCTGACAAATGTTCCCTCAGCATCCCGACTCCAGGGTTTTGTAGATGGCTCCTCCAGGAATAACTCTGTTCACTTGTCAGTAGGAGTATCAGCAATTGACTGTTTATACTTCTTGATTTTTCTTTACATACACACATTATATATATATATATATATATATAATGTTTACTTGTCTCTACACTGAGTTATTTCTATTCTTGCATATCTGAGAGTGCAGAATTATAAATATTTTTCAATTTTTTTTTTAATATAGATAAAAAAACTGCCTGTTTCTTGTATAGAAATTTTTCAAAAGAAGTGTTTTTTTTTTTTATCTTGAGCACTCCTGAGATCATATTTTTTTCCACATTTTTCAAAAACAAAGTATTCATGTGCCAACAGCTCAAAATAATTTAATTTCTCCTGTTTATTAAACTTTTCAGCATTTTGATGCATTCTTTTTGAAAAAAATGTGAAAAAAAACAACAAAAAAAAAATGATAGCTCTTGGAGTGTCCAATACAAACACCCATTTTGAAAAATTGCTATGCATGAAACAGGCTGTAAATGGGTCACCAAATATTTTGTGTACATATATATATATATATATATATAGTGTGTGTGCGTATAAAGAAAAAAATTTCAAAGGTAACTTGGATGATTAATATGGCAAAATAACTTTTTCCTTTTTTTTTCATGTGGTTTACAACCATATCATGTTGAAACAGTGGTTCTTGTACAATTGCCGAAGCCTGGTCTGTACCTAGATTGTGTGACCACTTCAGAATACCAGGTGCTGTAAACTTGGGTGTACAGTTAGTGTAATGGATAACAGTGCAGAATGAGGAATTGGAAAGTTGAGTTCCACTTCCAGTTGGGTTCATTATATTAGCTTATGTGCAAATACCCTTGGGAAAATTATGACTTAGCCTCCTCTCCCCCAGCTATGTATCAGTAAAGAATTATCATCTTCAAAATATTCTTACAATCTAAAACTATTTTCTGGCTTTGAATAACCTGTAAAAGGTTGATGAGCCATAAAAACAATCAATTCTCTTTTCATTTGAAACCCGTTAATAGTTAAACTAAAGGGTGTTTCATTAAGATGGATTGTATGTAAGGGTGTTTCATTAAGATGGATCAAAGTCAGCAGTAAATAAATCAGTGTTATTAGTGAGAATTTATTTTTCTGTTGGATCAGTTTATTTAAGTCATGGCAATTATGTGTAAAGAATAATATCACCTAAATGTGAAAGAAAAAGAAAGAAATCATTAGTTGCTTTAAATTAATTCACATTTAAAATCGGTCCAAGTTATTGGAACACCCTTTGTATATTAAGTGTTCCTCCTAACAAATAAGTGAATGTCTGCTGTGTGCATGAGTAAATTTCTTAAAATCTAGTAAATTGGTTTCTTCTGGAAGTTCTTGCTCACTCTGGCAAACATAATTCCTTATGTTTATAATTCTTTGTCTTGACACTCATGTTTTTTTTTTCTTGGCTGCTGTTCTTGTTGCTGTTGTCTAGGCATTTTATGAAGATAACAGCGAAAATTGCAATTTTGAATACTTCATAGTTGGCAGTATGGGTCCCTTATTTGTTGGACCCACAAATACTCAGGTGAGTTTTTACCAACACGTGTGAAAATAAATCCTTCTGTTTGCTTCTGACCTTTGGCAAGATGTCTGCACGGCTGAGAAGAACAATCCCAATTATTTTAAATTTTTTAAATTTTGGATAAGCCAAGACACTCATGGAGATAAGATAAGCCCCTCACATGGACAATATTCTCAGGTATTCTCAGTATTTTGAAAATTATAAAATTTTTGTTGATGTTTCAAAGTCAAACCTTATTGGGTTGCATTTGTTTGTATCCCATTCACAAAATTCAACCAATTAAAGATTTTTAAAAAATGTTTTAAATGAAGCATTTTTGCCATTCTTACTAGTTTTATTTCATCTTATTATTGTTGCTTTTAATCCCAACACTCTGGATCAATATCCTCTTCATTATTACTATTATTTTATTACTAGTTTTATTCCATCTTATTATTGTTGCTTTTTATCCCAACACTCTGGCTCTGTACACTCTTCATTATTACTATTATTTTATTACTAGTTTTATTCCATCTTATTATTGTTGCTTTTTATCCCAACACTCTGGCTCTATACACTCTTCATTATTACTATTATTTTATTACTAGTTTTATTCCATCTTATTATTGTTGCTTTTTATCCAAACACTCTTAGTTAATATACTCTTCATTATTATTTTTATTTCATCCCATCTTATTATTGTACTATTGATCATTAGAGTTTTCATGTTGCTTTTTATCCCCAATATTTTGGGTCAATCATCACTACTAGTGTTCAATCTTATTTTTGTTAATTGTTCAACACAGTCTTTGATCATTTCTGCAAGAATGTGTAAAACTACTTAGTAATAGAATCAGCTAAACAGGTTTTTTCTAAAGTTTTGTGCAGTTTAAATTGTTAATACTTTTCTTTATAATATAAACATATTTTCTTATGTGTACAGTTTAAGAAGACGAGCTTATCCAAATATTGCTTCAGTTGTTAAAATATCTTTAATACTAAAATAATCAACAAGATCAGTCTGTAAAGTAAAAAAACAGTTGTCCATTTCTTTTTTATTTTTTTTTTTTTTTTTCAGTGAACTTGAATAATGAAATGTTCGAATTTGTATCGAAGATGATAGTGGATAAAGTTTTTTTTCTTATTTAGCTACCCAATAATGACGTATTTCATGCACAGTAATTTTTCAAAATGGGTATTTGTTTGTTTCTTTTGAACACAATCATGTTTCCATCTGATATATTTCCTGTCATAACCAAGCTACTATCTCATGTGTTTCCTTTGCACAATCAAATTCCAATTTCATATCTTCTGATTGGTTCTTCAAGGAACTCAAACAAGTCACATTTATTAGGATTTGTTCTGTTTTTACTCATAATGACTAAAAGATAAAGTATTTTTGGTTATGTTGTTTTCTGGCTTCAAAATACTTATTCTATGCACAGAATATAAAATAACTGTTGATGATACACTAAATTCAAAAAGCAAGCGAATTAATTTTCTCTCAACAGTTACTAATAAAATGTTAATTGATTTTTGCTCGTGTTTTTTTTTTTTTTTTTTTTTTTTTTTTTTATGTGGCCAGGTATATTTTTGGACCCCCACCCATCCAACATGCCAGTCTCCCGATTGCTTTACTGTAGAAAATAGAAAAATTGCAAAAATTAATATTTAAACCAATACTTTTTATACTCTTCTGTCAGTCATTTTATTTTCCATATTCAATGTTTAAAATAAACAGAATATAAATTTATCATTTAATTTTTTTAAGGAATATTTTTGAACTGAAGTTTCATGACATTTTAAAAATACTGCTACAAAATGAAACAAATTTAACAGTTGAAAAGAACATTAGGCTATATTTATAATGTTTTACTTTGACATTAGGATTTATCCAAAGTTATAACACTAGGTTGGAATTATAAAGTTTTAGACTAGTATACTTTTGTACTAGTTGTATTTATGGCATTATTGACTGCATAGTGGTGTGTTTATAGGGATTTGAGTCATAATAGTGTGTATTTATAGGCATTAGATCATAGTGGCATGTGTATAAGGATAAGCTCTTAGCAGTGCATTTATAGTGATCGAGTCATAGCACAGGATTGTGATTACTGTTATTATGCTAGACTGGCTTGGTGACATTTTTCCTAAATTTTCTTTGGTGATTGGATCATAGGGTGTATTTCTGACGATTAGATCATAGGGTGTATTTCTGACGATTGGATCATAGGGTGTATTTGTAGGAATTGGATCATGGCGGTGTGTTTAAAGGAATTGGATCATGGCGGTGTGTTTAAAGGAATTGGATCATGGCGGTGTGTTTAAAGGAATTGGATCATGGCGGTGTGTTTATCGAGGCAGGATCATAGCACTGGATTGTCATTACTGTTATTATGCTACACTGGCTTGATGGCATTATTTTTCCCAAATTAGTTTTAAACAATTCTATAGAGGAACTTTTGTGCTAATACCCTTAGAAAAGGCATAAATCCAATTCTCCCTGCAGTTTGTCTAGATAACCTGAGAAAATGTCATTTTATTAGCATGTCACACTAGTTGTTGTATAAAAGAATTAGTGAGCCCTTAGGCAAACAACTCTCCTATAACAACCTTACTTGCCGAGGCAATGACAGCAAAAAGCTTTTGAGTCATGAGTTGAATTTGAAAGGGGCCAATAATAACATTTTAATATTATTTGTGCTTAAAGAATTTTACTTGCACCAATTTTGAATGAAGTATTTTCACGTCTCTCAGTTAATACCTGGTAAGTACAATTGCATCATTTCAGGTTTTATTTTCTCGTTGATGTATTTCTGTACTGCAGTTTAAGCTAAAAATTTAGAGAGTAAAAAAAATCAAAAAAATCTTTATCCCTGTTGATTAGTTTATTATTATTAATTATTTTTAATTTTATGAAATTCTATGACAAAGTGGAAAAAAGTTTTGTGGAATGTGTTTTGTCCTTTCGAACTTTATCAGATTAATGTGATATTTATGCTGATGCGACTAATGGGTCTGACCATAATTTAGGTTTTAAAAATGCTACTTTAATTAAAAGATAATTTACTAAGAGGAAAATGTATAGAAAGTGCTTTAATTGCTAGATCATCCATAGTAAATTTATGTCCAGGTTTTTACATTTCAAAAGGTTGGTCATCATTCAAAGAAGGTGATGTTGCATATATGGTAAGACTGAGATGGAGTCTTCTTCCTTGAGAAGAACTCCTCCCAATGAGACCAAATGGAGATAGCAATATGATGTAATGAATATGCATACACCTGGGTTCCCCTTCACAGTAATATGATTGGCTGGTGTCAGCCATAAATACAGACTGATGTGGAGGTACATGGACTACACCTATTGATTACGCCTATTGTCTTTGTGTATTGCATACCACTACGACAAGGACCAGTCCATTATAGTTACCTGCTAGATTGTCCTACTTGGTTACAGTAGTCTACAACCACTTTGCTACTTTGAACAAATATATCCCTTTCTGGGACATATCACAATAAAAACATTAGGAATTAGTGAAAGACAAAAGTATAAATGTCTCTCAGCATAATGGTAGACTGACCACACATTTCTTTGGTAACTAGGTAGAAATTGTTACAGCTGGACTGTTGCTAGTTTAATCCTCATGGATATCTCCACATGAAACTAATCTAATCAAATATCTGTATTAGAGTACCATATATACTTGTGTAATGTGCAATCTTTTGTATTGTGCGACCCCCAAATTTTCACTTATAAACAATGATTTTATCATTTATCTTGTGTATCATGCAAATTCCTTATTGGAGAGAACAAATTACAATAGACTAACCGCTTTTTCTCTGACTTTATCCCATCTTTTGATTAAATAAGTTAAAGTAAAAGAGAATGATAAAAGTATTGTTAGTAATACTATATTCATTGTATATTAAAGACATTTTTATGTTTAACGTTTTTTATAGATACAAGTATTTAAGTAAATGCTCTGTTTATGATAAACAGTATTAAATAACATTTACCGGCCTGAATGTCCGAGAAATTTTCATAGAAAATATTCGTTCTTTGACAGGATTCAACCTGTATCCTATAATGAACCGTCATTTACGCTGATGTGCCTTTACCGTTCGCCAAAAGAATCGTTCGGTAGACAAGGTCGAATTTATGGAAGATTGAAGTTTATAATCAGTAAATTCGACCTTGTCTACTGAACGATTCTTGGACATTCAGGCCGGTAAATGTTATTTAATACTGTTTATCATAAACAGAGCATTTACTTAAATACTTGTATCTATAAAAAACAACGTTAAACATAAAAATGTCTTTAATAAATAAATTGTCGGACCTTGTCCATTTCTTATTATATTCATTGTGTAAACGTGTACAGTCATAAACAACCAAATGGGAAAAAGCTGTTTTGCTATGAACAACTGAACGGGATAACAACAGTTGTTTTGCTTGCATTTCAACCATCATACAATAGTAAACAATTACCATAGTTATGTTACAAATTATGTTAAGTAGAATAGAACTGATTTATTTTTACATTAGGTAACTTCTCTTTCTTGCTAAAAAAACAAAAAAACAAAAAAAACAGCATAGCATGATGAAATAAATGCTCCAAACTTGATAAAAACAAAGTTTTATCATCAAAATGTTTATTATCAGCACAGCTGTACTTCTTGACTACAGTAAATGGATATATAGTTTGGTGAATAGTGTTGTCAGAAGTACATATGCTAATTTTAAATCTCTTGTATGATGCAACTCCATTAAAATTAGGTTTTCAAAAGTTGCATTATATGTGAGTATATAGTTACATGACTGACTTTTGTATTACTTATGCTGTATAATCAGAGGAACTTTTTTCTTTTTTTTTTTTTTTTTTACACATTTTATTCATGATTGATTTCGTAATCATTTAATACATGTATAGTAATTTCTGTGATTCCTCTTTATTTAGTTTCTGTTTTCCAAAATTTATCTGTCTGTTTTTTTATTTTTTTATTTTTTTCTCCCAAACAGACTTTTGTGAAAGACAACTTTGAGAGTTTGAGTTTCAGTCCTGCAGCTGGAGATCGCTTCATGAAAAATCTCGATGATCTTGAACAGCAGATGAATGACCAGTTGAACAGTAGCACACCTCGTCTTAGCATCTCTACCCGCTTTCTTTCCAGAGCTCAACCTTCAGGAGTGAAGTAAGCTTGAAACAATTAGGCTTATTTTGTCTTCCATTTCTATTCTAAGAATGTTTCTTGGACGTGTATTTATTGTGGTCATACTGAACAGACCCATCTTGATATTTCTATTTACTACTTGCAAGGGCAGACACAGAATACCCTACCTGTTTTCCTTCTAAATAATTCTTGATATTTGTATTTCCGATTTGCATGAGGATGAAAAGAAATATAAAAGAAAAAATTAATAATAAATCTTGTCAGTGTTTCATTTAGTAAAAAAATTAAGATGGTAGCAAATACAATTAAAAAAAAAAAAAAAAAAGCAGCACCATCACCATGGACTTGTAAGATGTTGGTGAGGCAGATTTAGCCTCTGGCCGGGCCTTAGCCAGGCCTAGGCTAAAAAAAAAGCAACCTCTGTTTGGTTGCTGTAAACAAAATGGAATTTGACTGCCGCTTTTCTCACTGTATGTAGTGACGTCACTAAGTGGCTGTCATGTGACCCACGTAACATATCTCCACTAAAGGGGGATAAGCACCTTCTGTATTATGTAATCTTTGATACTGCTTCATCCAATAAAAAAAAAGAAATATAATTACCAGTTCAAATTAGTAATAATAATAAACACTATAATAAAACAAAAATAATACTGATTCTTTTTTTATTTCCAGGAATCTGGCCATTTACAACAGCATTCAAAGACAGGAAAATTGGTATGATGTAAGTATGATGTAGTTTGGCTTTTCTTTCTGATTTTTTTTTCTGATTTTTTTTTGTTTTTTTGTTTTTTCTTTTTTTCTTTTATCCTTTTTTTCTTTTATCCTTTTTTTCTTTTATCCTTTTTTCTTTTATCCTTTTTTATCCCTTTTTTCTTTATCCCTTTTTTCTTTATCCCTTTTTTCTTTATCCCTTTTTTCCTTTATCCCTTTTTTCCTTTATCCTTTTTCCTTTATCCCTTTTCCTTTATCCTTTTTTCTTTTATCCCTTTTTCTTTTATCCCTTTTTTCTTTTATCCCTTTTTTCTTTTATCCCTTTTTTCTTTTATCCCTTTTTTCTTTTATCCCTTTTTTCTTTTATCCCTTTTTTCTTTTATCCCTTTTTTCTTTTATCCCTTTTTTCCTTTATCTTTTTTTCTTTATCCTTTTTTCCTTTATCCCTTTTCCTTTATCCCTTTTCCTTTTTCCTTTATCCTTTTTTCCTTTATCCCTTTTTTCCTTTATCCCTTTTTTCCTTTATCCCTTTTTTCCTTTATCCCTTTTTTCTCTTTTTTTTCTCTTTTTTTCTCTTTTTCCCTCCCTCTTTTTTTTCCCACTTTTTTTTTCTCTTTGAGTAATGAATGAATAAATATTTAAAAGAATTTTGGTATGTAGTAGTATTTGCTTTTGGTAGATTTTTTTCTTTTTACTAAATTTAACCTAGTCTGCCACAAGGCCATTATGTGGCACCGAGCAAGGACTGAATTTATTCTTAGGGAGCAAATTAATCTAGCAGTTATTGAAGTTGATTTAATCCCAATAGGTTTTTCCATGGTTATGTCAGATATTTCAACTTCGTAAATATTTAGAGATTTACTTACATCTTATTTGACTTGTTTCAGCCTGTATCACTTTTCAGCTTCATCCCTTACAATTTCTACATCCTCTTTTTTTTTCTTCTTTTTTTTTGTTTGTTTCCTGCTTCTTGTTGCTCTGTGTTGCAGAGTTACTAATTGTAGGTCTGCTTGCTTACCATTTGTCATCACTTGCTCTGTTACTGTTGTGTCAAGCCTGGAAGAGAGAGAAATGAAATGCTTTTGTTGCAGTCTGTATGTCTTTGTGAATTTTCATATTTTTGTTTGCCTTCTTGACAAAGGCTATAATCTAACTTGTAGAAATAGCAGTTAGGATTAAAGCCTCTGTGTATTCCAAATATTTTTTTGTGATCTTTTTAATCCCCTACCACTGATTAAATAAAAACCGAAATTAGCAGCTATGAATTTCTCCTCTCCCCAACTATTGTTAAATAGCAACACAGGCTTGGTAGCCTTGGCTGGCAACCAGTCTAGGAGAAGGACAATTCTGAATTCAAAACTTCCAACTATGGGTTAAATAGCCGCACCAGCCTGCTATTGGCCAAGTGTGGTGAGTATGGCTACATCCTTAAAGGCATGGTCAATTGAGGAGGGGTTTCTCCTGGATTGGGATTAATTTTTCACTAGCATTTCTCTTATCTTAATAACAGTTGCTTGCTATAACATCTATAGTACTACCTTGATTATCCTGAATGTGACATGAGTATCAATGGTAATCTTTCCTGAGTGAGGCAGCAGTTCATTCTGTGGTTTTACATTTTGACCAGGAGTCTAATTTTGTGGTGATATTCCACTTTGTAAATGAAATAGCCTCGAATTGGAACCATAAAATGAAAGCAGGTAGTATTATCTGTTGAGAAATTAAATGTGAGTTTGAGTCCCAGTTTGTTATACCTTCACGATCTTACAATTTGAAATTGAAATAGCTTTGCATTTGAATGGCAGGATGAAATGAAAAAGGGGTTGTGCTATTTGTTGAGGAGAAATTAAATGATGAGAATGATATTGCCCATATCAAATTTCAACAGCTCTAATGCGCAATTTCGGGCATGAGCAGGCTCGATGTGCAATTTCAGGCATGAGCAGGCCCAATGAGCAATTTCGGGCATGAGCAGGCCCAATGAGCAATTTCGGACATTAACAGGCCCAGTGCCCAAATTCATTCAAACATCATAGCAATGATATGTTTGATATTTTAAGATGAGCGCCATTCTTTAGTTCCACTAGTTCAAACCTTAATTGCTAGTACATGTCATGTTACTTCTATGGAGTCGAATCACCCTTATTTCCTTCATATTCCACAATCTAAGAATAAACTTCAACTCTGCTTTTCCCCCACCAAAACTGCTGTTTTTGTGAAACACTCTCACGTGGATGCTTCCCTGAACGCTAAAGTCTTCAATTAAAGTGTCAATTGTTATCTATCCTCCTTATCTCTGCTATTTACCACCTCCTCTTTCACTTATATCTTATTCATTATAACCATTGCATTGTATTGTGTAAACTGTTAGTATTAAAATAAACATCACAGGTAAAAACTAGTTCATAAATGGTTACATCAGAATCATGTTATGTGAAAATATTGTACAATACAATGTTAAACATGTCAAAAATTGGTAATATTTTGTTTGTTAAACATGTCAAAAATTGGTAATATTTTGTTTGTTAAACATGTCAAAAATTGGTAATATTTTGTTTGTTAAACATGTCAAAAATAGGTGTTGGATGATACATTTTAACTGGATAAATGGAGCTCTTGTGATAATAATTCAATAAAATGCCCCTGAGCCACTAATTATACATAAAGTATTGGGATTGATAGAAACTTTAACAAATATTTTCCGTATTAAATTCTTTCTTAAATCTCTCAACAAGTTTAACAGAATTTACCACATTTAACATAAGCTTCATAGAGTATACTGTAATCCTTGAATAAATGAATGTACATTTTGGTGATAAACAAATATTGCTCCTATTAAATTTTTTAATGTATTTGCCAAAATTGTACTTGAAACTCATCACAAGACATTTGATTTCAAACCAAGAACAATAAGCCCAAAATCGTACTTGATAGAATATACAGATGGGCTTATTGGTTTGAAATCTAAGGTTTTCTTTCTTAGCTAAAATGTCTTGTGATGAGTCTCACCTACACAGCAATTGGGATAGAATGTTGTTCAATTAGCCACAAGGTCAAGGAAGTATTCACTGGATCATCAAAAAGAAACCTTAAAATTTTTTTAGATTTTTTTCTTTCAAATTTTTTTCTTTGTCTCTATCAAAAATTTATCTGACATGGATAATAATTATTATTATTATTATTATTATTTCAGTAAGATAATACTGGGTAGAAATATATGAATCCCAATATACCATTCATGATACCCAGTCTGATAAGGGTATATCAGGCATATGCATCACAGCCAAATGTGTGTGATGTGGCGACAGATTTTGGTGGAAACCATGTGTAACATTGCAAGTAGGACCCAGTTAAAGACAGTATCTGATTGTAGGTGTTTTCAAGTATCTAGATGTTTCTCCCAAGTTGCCTCAGTGGCCTTATCCTTCAAATCAAAGAAAAAAAAAAGCTTCCTCTACTAATTTCATTCATGAACAGAGATGCTCCGTGCATTAGCCCCTTAGAGGACTTTCTCAACTGGTTAGGATTAGACAGCTGACAAGCAAATCTGCAATACTAAATAGGATATATACTGTAGTCCATTTTAATTCACCAAGACAAGGCATGTGCATGTTAAAAGCTCTGATTAATTAAAATCAGAATCCATGAGGGCCAAGCCTGGTATAGCATCAGGGTATTTATTACTATTATTATTACTTGCCAATTCCCTGTCTTATGAGCATTTCTCTTAATAATCATTTAAAAATAATTCAGCAGATAATGTTATTTTATTTATGCCTACTGGATTTTTGGTGATTACCTGATGTAGTGACATCAGTGTCAGCCAATATTTTGTTTAATGAAAACATCTGAAAGATGTTACAGAAATTGTTTCAGACAGTTATTGTCTTGATGATTATCAGCTAAGTGGACCTCACAAGAAACATGTCAAACATCCCTAACAAAGAAGGTCACTGAATGGAACAAGAACCTGGGTCCTTGATAAATTACTTTTTTAGACAAAGATGACAAGACAAAGAATGCTGATCACTAGGATCTGAAAGCAGTGTGGAGAGAGAGAGAGAGGGGCGAGAGACTGCCTTGCCTCTATGCATAAAGGAAGAGACGCCTGTTTGAGGGTGTGCCCTTTCGATTACTCTCACCTCTGCTGTCTAAAGCTGAAGGTTACAACCTGAATAAAATTTGCCTATTGCTACAATTTCATCTCATGGTTTTATTTTGTCATTTTTGTAAGCTACAAGTGTTTAACTGGAAGAAGCTGCACGCTGAGAATGACCCTGGTACTTGGTCTGAGCACCAGGGTCATTACACTTACTTTGTTTCTGTCATTCAATACTGTGCATCTGAACAATGGCACTTTTATTGCAGTCACTACTGCTTCTTGGCCTTTTGGTTAAGATCAAAGTGCAGTGTCTGTTTTTAGATTAATCTTATTCTCTCTCTCTCTTCACTTCTATCTCCCCTTTCTTTCTTTTTCATTTTCATACTGAAACCAAGTAATATCTTTTCCCTTCTTTCCATGCAGTCAAAATGCAATAGTCCATTATTTATGAGGCATTGACAGGGCGTAATGGTCGTGTGAACTCACGAAGGGTGGGACAAGCACAATTATAATAGGATTCTTATGCTATTAGTGCCCATTCCTCATTCCATTTTGGCTTTGTGCCATATTTATCTTTGCTTAATGAATACGAATAGGAATATAACTTGACAAAGAAAAAAAAAAATACACAGCTAATAGGAATGATTTCTTTCAGAAAACTGATGCAACACAACCTTTCTGTCCCATTTCCCAATTCATTTTGTCCTTTTGTTATACTTAATTAACCAACATAATGAATGATATCTTTTGCTTAACGACTTTTACAGGGCTAGGAACAGGAATTTAACAAGATTGTATTTTACACATCTCTGCTAAGTCCATTCTACCCGTGTACATTGTTGTATTGAATGGCTATATTTTAATCTATTCTGGGTGCTTCAGTGAAGTAGTCTGACTCCCTACTGCTGGCTTTGTGATCTCAAAAAGAATTGCACAGTTAATTCCCAGTATTTCCCTGTATATATTGATTGATTGCTTTTTATGCTGAGGAGTAAATTTGTGGAGATTGATTTTTGTATGTAATCAAAAAGCTTTGTCAAAATGTGTGTTACTCGTAGCTTTTTAACAGTTACTATATGGCCTGTGATGCTGTAGTCCTTCAACTAGTTTCCTTGTAACAGAATTTATATATATATATAAATTTGGAGCTCTTTTGGATAAAAAAATGATGCATATAAAATATCCAAGGTAAGTTGAAAATATGTTGATATTTTAAATCATAATTTTAATGCAATATTTAAAATTAAGTCAGTTATCTGGAGGCAAGAAAAATAGGATTTTCCCCCTACGTTGTGGATATTTGGTCTACGTGAGTATGATATATTTAGCAAGTATAGTGATTTTCCAAACGTATCTTAGATGTGGCACAAAGTCAAAAGTATAGGGCACCCAGTGAGGAACGAACTCACTTGTAATTGTTCTAGCGAGACAAGCTTGCTGACCATTACACCACCTTGAGGTGCCCATATTTAGTGTGTATAGAATTGAATTATAAGGTCAGTCATTATCCATCTTCTCTATCCTCATAATGTTAACTTTTTACGACTTTCTCTTACATCCATGTCACACACCTATCACGTTGTAACACTGGGTCTCGTATGATCACCAAAGTTAAGCAACCATAACCTGGTCAGTACCTAGATGGGTGACCACTTAGGATTATCAAGAGATGTAAGCTTGGCTGTGCAAATAGTGTAATGTATAACAGCTTGGAATTGGAAATTGAAGAGCTGAGTCTGGTTGGTTATATTCACTTACATGTAAAAATACCCTTAGGGAAGGCATGAATCCACCTCTTATCTCCTCATGTATGGGTTAATTAGTAGAACATGTATCAGCGTCTCCTAAAAAATTCTTACAGTATAAAAATATTTTCTGGCTTTACATAAACTGTTGATATTCCATAAAAAAACTAATTAATCTCACCTTATTCAATAACCCTCTATCTTGAGTTGCTCTTGAGCCTTGCATTGGGCGAACTTTAGAAAAAAATAAAAACAAAAAAAAAAAAAGGAAAAGAAATGCTTTTTGTGTTGGTGTGAAATCTGTTCTTCTTTAAGTTAGTATGAAATCTGTTCTTCTTTAAGTTAGTATGAAATCTGTTCTTCTTTAAGTTAGTATGCGGTAACTAGTTTCACCATGCAAAAATATTGAATGAAATATTGAACTTATCAACCTTCTAACTGGTTGTTATTATCACTAAATTGCACCTGCAAGTGCAGAATATTGATGTGTATTTGAAAGCCAGTCATTTTTCTGGTTGGGCCCTTTCAAGGCCTCTATCTGCTCTTTATTTTTATGACTGAAATATAAATAAAATAATATTTTTAAGCAGTTAATTGATTTTTTAATCTGGCATTAATCCTTATGACTATTAACATTTATATTTACTTGGTACACTTGCTTGAGTAGATGTCCCGGTTTCATTTTTAAACTATGAAATTAATACCTACCAGCGTAGATTGAAAGTGTTAAAGAAAATATGCCACCCAACAGAAATATCAAATCTGTATTCTCTTTATAACCTGGAGAATCATATTCAGACAAAGTGTGCTTTTTACCACTAAGTCACATGTGGCCATTACACTAAAGCAAGGCTCATTTATCCTTTTTAAGAAATGTATGGCTCTCATTGGAACCTTTTGAAATCTAACTGCATTTTAATGCCCAAAATGTAAATAAGGAAATATTTTAAGCAACTAATAAACTTTTTAATCTGGCATTATTTCTTACTATAAATGTTATTTTTGGCGGGGACATATATTTGAGGAGAGATTGTTGAAAAAAAAAAACTTTTGACGCAGTAAAAGTAGGGAAAACCCAGAAGAGAACAGCAACAGCCTGGTAAGGGTTGCAAAAGGAGTCCCCCTCTTGCGACCCGCTCCAACTAGGTCTAGTAACAGAAAAGAAAAAGAAGTAATAATCCTTCAGCACGACAATTAACCAGTCACGTGTCGGCTGATAGAGAAGATAGGTCTCGTGAGAGTACGGAGGACGATTTTTATAAGGAGGCTAACCGCTTCCCACAATCCTCCTACCAAGACCATAAATATCAGTTGGTCATTTGCTTCCAGTTTAGCTGGACACAATTCCTCCTGAGGCTGAAGCAACCCGTCCATAAGTAACCCCTTCTCTCTTCCTCTTTCCTTTTCTTCACAAGATTTCTATTTCCCCCCTGCCCCACAGTGAGATTAATGTCTACTGGCTCAGAATAGCAAATTAACATATTTTTGTTTGATATTGTTCAAGTTTTAGAGAGAGTTTTAATGAAATACTAAAATTTATAGGTCGGTGCACTAATAAAACAAACCATTTTGAGTTGGTTAGATCATCATTAGATACTCTATAAAATATAACCTTCTGTCAGAATTGTCTTAATCTAAAAAAAAAAAAAAAACAGTTTAGATTATATAGCTTGTTAGGAAGAAGGTGAAAGTTTTGCAAAGGTAATTTTGGAAACATTTTGTTGAAACATTAACCTTTAGCTATTGATCTTTGTGATATGATGACTCAGAAGTGACAGAACCACAAGGCTTCAACTGTTTTCTTTTCTGGTTTTTTGTTGAAATTAAACTGAAGTGATTTGGGGGAATATTTTTTTTTGTTTTATTACATGTAATAACTGCATGAAAATTTGACTCCAGGTTTTACAATGGTTTGAATTTTTCAAGGGATGACATTATTTTACTTTTAATGGGATCTCAAAATTGGAAAAAGGGACAATCTTTTGAACCAACCATTGTCAAGGACTGTCATCATGGGAACTAAATTCATTTCCCCTGTTATCAGAGTCAAGAATGCACCATAAAGCCTAAACATTTATAAGTTCGTGACTTGTAATGAGATCAAAATTTGATCATCTATCAATGAAAAATAAAATTAAAAAAATGTTAGTTGAAGTACCCTACTAGTTGATTGGTTGCTTTTGTTTCGTTGCATATCAGTACCTCTATAGGTTATTTAATGCAGAAATCTAAATATTTCTTATGCAACTTTATTTTATTTCAATTTTTATTTTAAATGATAATGATATGAGTATTACTAATTAATCCATACTTGGGAGAAAAGGTGGATTCATACCTTTCTCAAAGGTATTTGCACTTAAGAGAATATAACGAACCCAACTGGAATTGAAACTTGGCTCTCAGATTAACAATGCCTCATCAACCTTTATGGGTTATTTGATGCCAAAATCTAAATATTTTTTGTACACAATTTTATTTTTGGAGATAATAATGATTTAGTGACACAAGTTTTAACCCATAGCTGGAGAGATAAGAGGTGGATTCATCCCTTTCCCATGAGTATTTGTAAGTAAGTGAATATAATGAACCTAACTGGAATTGGAACTCGGCTCTTCAATTAACAATTTTGAGACATTATCCATTACACAATCCAAACATCTAAGCTTATAGCATCTAGCATTCTCAAGCAGTTACCCATCTAGGTACTGACCAGGCTTGACACGGCTTAACTTCGGTGCTCATACGGGAACCAATGTTTCAATATGATGTGGCTGTAAGCCTGACTACTTTAGGGAATCCACCATATTGTTTGAGCTAATTCAGTAGTGTGTACCCCTCTAAGGCCACTTGATCTTATTAGATTTGGTTGTAAGCAAATAAATGTTTGGTTGGTTAGATCTGGCCAATGTGTCTTGAAGTTTTTGTTAAAAATATTATTAATGTTGTTCAGAGCTTTTTTTAAAACTTTTTTTAATTTTTTCCTTAAGCAGCTTTTCATGATATAATGATATGCTTTACATTTGTTGAGTGTGTGAGATTTTTTTTGTGTTGGTATGTAAAAGCAGCACGAGAACTGAGCTTTTGTTTATTTGCTTATTGATAAGCGCTTGAAGCATGTTGTGGCCATATTTATTCCAGCTTCCTTCTCCTCACCAAATCAACAACATCATCAATAATAATCATCATCAACACTTCCGTCCTCATCTCCGTCATCTCAGGTTCAAGGTTTGTCTAATGAAATTTTACATCTGTTTATTCATTCATTCTATTTTTTTCTCAGCACGGACGTCTCTCGACGCAGTTATCTCCCTTACTTTTTCCAGTCATTTTCGCCATTGTTTCATCTGCTATTTTTTTCTGCTGTGCTTGATTCTTGCATTCGGTGTGTATACATATTTGCTTCTGTGTGTGCATAAATATGCTGCATTCAGTGGGGATATATTTTTTTATGCAATATTAAAGGGTAAAAATGAAACACTGATCCCACATTGTAAAATATGGCTGAGAAAATAATCTATTATTTTGTGCCAAAAACTGTTTTCTGAAATTGTGAGATGAGCAAAAAAATGAAGACAGTTATGAAAATAAACTGTCAAGCTGGACTAGAATTTTTGAAAAGCAGTTGGTTCCAATCCTTGTTAGAATTACTGCAAAAAAAACATCCCCCTCTCCATATTTATAGATAAATTATTATGAGTCAAAAAGTTGTTAATAAAACAACAAAAAAAATCGTCATCAAAGCTTTTTCGAGTTGAAGGCACACTGCAAATCAGTATGCTTTCTCATCTTCAGCATGGCATGAATTTACTACCATTTAACTTCTAGCTGAGGGGAAAATAAATGGATCTATACATTTTATCAAGTGTATCTGTGCGAATGTGAATATAATGATCTTGACTGGAATTTGAACTTGGCTTGCTGATTTCTCGTTCCTAGCCTTTAACTATTACACCATCTGCACATCCAAAAAATCTTAACATACATTAAAGGAAATTCAGATTCGGATGGCCGATTCTCATTTTTATTGAGGCTTTCTTGATTACTATAGCGAAGGAAATGGTAGCTTACCTTGTTGGCTAAAAATTTATCCTTGTATACTTGTTCTCTGTTGAAAGTGTCTGAACAGAAATAAACCCCAAAATTTTGACCTTGTTTTTAGCTCTCTTTTATAGAAAGCTTGACAGCTCATACAATTTTTTATTTGACTGATTGTGGATGTCTTGGGGAATGTAAGCTATTTTTGAGAGGCTGGAAGGGTGGGAAAGAAAGGAAGAAATTGGTAGTTTATTTTATTTTTTATTTTTTGCTTGTGTGCATTATGGTAGTTGCTTCTTGTAGGAATTGTGACTTTTGCAATTTTCATATATCTTTCTGCTACAAATGCCAAACTAGTTTGATGTTTAAGTTGCATATTTAAAGCACACACACACTCACACACACAGAGGGTGTAACAGCAAAATTGTGCAATTGTTAGATTAAGCTTTGAACTGCTGTATCTTAGAAATGATTAAAGATATCTTACTGAGATTCTCCAAGGTTTTTATAACACTATTGGACTCTACTTTGAGCAATAAGAATGTATAATTACTCTTTAAACTTAACAGAAGAATCGTGATGAAATTGATCATAAATGAAAATGTCATGTTCATCATTAATTAATTGTAGCTGAGGATCGGAAGCTTATAAAGGATTGAAATAAAGTTCATATATATATATATGTATATATATATATATATATATATATATATGAAGAAAAATATATACGAAAAAAACAAACAAAAATCCTTATATACAATTTATACTGTTTTAATGTTAATATGTCAACGTCGGACGTTTCGGTCTAATAAACCATCTTCAGGACATATTCATAAATTATAACATTATCAATAACAGGACTTATCCAAACAAATAACTGAAACTTTCAGTTATTTGTTTGGATAAGTCTTGTTCTTATGTACATCGTCTTTGTCATGTTGTATTGATAATGTTATAATTTATGAATATGTCCTGAAGATGGTTTATTAGACCGAAAACGTCCGACGTTGACATATTAACATTAAAAAAACAGTATAAATTGTATATTTCCGTATATATTTTTCTTCATACTATCGGATCTATATCCATATATTTGCTTATACATACACACATATATATATATATATATATATATATATATATATATATATATATATATATATATGGTATTCAGGATCATTTTCCAACTTATTCAAGATGATCTTCACCTTCTCACCTTCTCTCCTGGAGTAACAAAGTGACTCGGAAGCTTCACATACGATTTCATTTTCAAATCTTGTTTTCACTGCTCTTTGGACTGTCATAACTGAAACTCTTCTCTTGCATGCCAAACGTCTTATGGATTGAGTTGGATCTTTTCTAATTGATCACTTTAGCTTTAACTTGTAATTATGATCCCTCTTCCTGATCCAGTTTTTCTCTCTACTGTTCCCTCTTTTTTAAACTTATTCACCGTTCCCTTGATGATCCTTGAATGGACTTTGATGATGGAAGCCAGTGTTGTTGGTACCATTACTGAAGGCTTGAATGATCCTTTTCCTTTCACCATTGCTCAGTTGGAAAGATATAGTGGGACTGGCACAAAATGATTTTAACCTGTTCTCTTTCTAGCTGAATAACTCACTGACTTTTTCAGTGATTCTTACGAAAAATGGTGTCTAGATAGCTAAACGTCTTATCTGAAAACCTGGAAAAAAGAAACTCAGTTTAGAAGGTTTTTTTTTTTTTTTAGTTATTTTGTGGGATGGACAATTTTGCTGTTACACCTGGTATATTTGGTTTCCTGGCCCTCAATGATATCATTTTATGTAGGATTTTCAGTGTGTACACATAGCCGAGTGGTTAGAGACTCCCAGCAGAATGTTTTCCTGATTCGCTACAATCTTGACCAAGTCAAGTCTAGAGTTAGCCATTATCTTTCCTGTATAACCCCATGAACTTCACTTCTTGCCTTTTCTTACACTCATACGACGCTACACAGTAACCCTCTACATTGAGTGACTCTTGGGTTTTGCATTGGGTGAACATCAATATAAACAAAAATGTTAGCATTCTGATCATGAAGTCCAGGTTCAAATCTCACTATGGTCAATTTACCAGGAAAGTAATTTCTTGATATTATTGGGTTGGGGAGATGAAAACTATGCTACAGGTTGATCCAAACCTTGTGAATGAAATTGGGTAGACGGAACTGTTTTGGAGCCATTCATAGTTATGCAAGCAAGTCATTATAACTGAGGGTTTGAGTATACTAGATTATGTGTTCTCTCCCAGAAATTGTAACTAAGGTCTGCTCAGTTGTAGCATAAACCACAAGTTGGTGTTGAAGAAACACAAATGTGCCTGAGCAGACATCTGCAATGTGGATTAGTTAGCCACTCTAGGAGACACACATACCCAGATGGATACAAGTAGCCAACCATTCATTTTTATTCTATGCTGTATTACCAATATGGTGTCAGTGTCTCATTTTTCCCCAATTATAAACATATCAATAACTGACTGAACATATATATATATATATATATTTGCATGTATATCAACTTTGGTTTGTGCTTTCAATGTTCCTCTATTTCACTTATTAAAAGGTTTATAGGATATTTTGAAGATCTACAATTGTAAATCATCACTATTTGAATTATACAATTTCTATAGCAAGTTATATATCACTAGTATGTCAGTAAAATTCAGCTTTTGTTATTTTAGTCAAACATATGCATGCATAAGCTTTACTTTTTAAATCTACTAATTTAAAATTTTATGAAAAAAAAATGCTTTTTAATTAAAACATTGTTATACATTTTAAAGAAATTTATTATGTAAAAATATTAAAATAATGTTTAATGATCACATAGAAATCATAAGTTTTAAATGTTTACCACCATATGATCTTGATATAAAGATGCAAATAATATTCAGTGTTTAAATGTTAACATATTGCAAAAAGAAAAAAGATCCCTTAGAAAACTGATATTTACTAGAAAATTAAACAATCAGTTAAGTCACTCTAAAGATGTTAAGAGAATTACATGATTTTTTTTACAATTTATTTTTTTAATAAGCAACTTAGGATTCTGACCATTTAGGGTTGCTTAATTTTGGTGCAAGAATGAGCATTCAAATTGCTAAAATTTTGAGGGTGTAATAAATAGAAAAGAAAGCCACACTGATGTCAATAGTAAAATTTAGTCAAATTTGAGTACAGCTGTTTAGAAAAAATATCTTGTGAATAAGTAGTGTCAATGTTTTACTTACTATTTATGAAATCTAAAGAATATCATCAGGCAAAATTAAAAGACATATAAATATATATATATATATATATATATATATATATATATATATATATATATATATATATATACACACAGCTACCTACATTTGAAATGCAACTTAAGTTTTATTTTCTGTTCTGTTTTTTTTTTTATTTATTTTTTATTTTAAAGTAATAATTCATGCCTGATTAGTTAGTAGGATAATGAAACTTAAATTGCACTTTGAAAGTAGGTGTATGTATATTTATTAATATATACTTAACTCTGCCTAACCACATTCAGTACTGTTTTGTTTACACCCTTTTATAAGAGTTGGCTGGAAAGTTCATAGGCTGACCAAGATGTAAATGTAATTAGATGATGCACCAATTTGTAGACTAAAACACATGCAAGAGTACCAGAATACACTTGGTAGAAAAAAAACAACAAAAACATATGATACAACTTCAAGCTAACCAGCTTTTC